TCTCTCTCTCTCTCTCTCGCTCGCTCTCGCTCTCTCATCACTTTGTACGTGCAATTGTTTGAGAACCTTGTTTATGATTGAAAGAGAGGATGCAGAAGTTCCAACGAGGAACACAGACGTTATAAAGAAAAGAAAAACAAGTGTAAAAACTTGTATCATATTTGGCAGTCAATRAAGCAAACAAATAAAGGATAAGTTGTTTCGGGTTGTGGCTATAGCATACAAAGACGACTCTGCATATGGCTCTCACATATACCCGTCATAGGACGACTACTTACGAACAGTAGAGATTATCGCCACAAGACTTGGAAAATTGGCAGCAGAGAGTCTTGCTCAATATATTGGTGAACAGGGAACAAGGGAGGTTTTGGTGGAGTGCAACCGTTGTATGACAACAGTTTGAGGAGAGATATCCGCAAAGTTAAAAAATTGGTTCTGAGTTGAAATGCATGGAGAAGTTAAGGGAATAAACTTTGAGGAAATTGTGCATTTATGACAGTTTTTTTAAATGTATTTCAGCATGCGAGAGCAGGGCACAGTCTGAGAGTGTCATTGCAACAACAAGCATTTTGGGAGATGGTCATCGGACGTGACATATTCATGACGAAAAAGGTTGGATCGGCAGAAAGAATCATTCAAAAAATGTACGTCATACAGAGGGCAATTGTGGATTCTGCTTCTGTACGAAACAATAGTGTAGACTTCAACATGTTCTATATGGATGAGTCGAGTTCAGCGGCAGACAAGACAATAGTACGATCTCACACATGCCTGTCAAGGCTACGTGCGCAATGTGATGAACACAACATTTTTATCGAAGAAGACTTCTCATTTGAGTAGTGAAATTATGTAGAAAACGCTGAGTTAAGTAGAGATGACAAATGAGCGCTATGTATAAGCATGATGCCTAACATTGTTTTGTATAACAAGAGTACATAGATAAATAGATTTGTTGATATGAAAGAAGATAGAGAGATAGATAGAAAGATGCATAGATAGATAGATAAATAGATAGACAGATAGATAGATAGATAGATAGATAGATAGATAGATAGATAGATAGATAGATAGATAGATAGATAGATAGATAGATAGATATAGAGATAG